GGGACCCCTCTCCCCAGACGTCCATGCCCAATTGGAGGAGAAGTCCAACGAGATTGTGGAGAACCCGGAGGTGCTGAATGCAACCACGGTGGCGATGGACGGTGCGGAGGGAAGCCTGGTGAACAAGTTGGCAGAGGTGAGAAGGAAGAAAGAGGAATTGAAGCCGAAAGCCAAGGCCAAGGCGGGTGCGACTACTACCACTCCTACGATGAAGAAGATGACCAAGCGCGAGGGAACGGAGACGGCGGAGGAGCTGGAAGCCCTGGAGGATGGCGAGTGGAAGAAGGGGCCTGCTTCGGGGAAGCGAAGGTGACATCGGGTGAGGAGAAGGCGAAGTTGGTGTGTAGCATCAAGGACGCCGTGGCTTCTGTGGACGAAGTTCTACGGGAGTTGGAAGGTGCATGCATGATGGCCAAGACCCCTCCGGTTGACTTGATTGAGGTGTTTTGCCCCCCGGATAGCTCGCTGTCCGGCATGGTGGAGGAGATGGGAGGAACGGTCATCCGAATTTGTGAGTCTCACATGAACCTTGCTACAAGAGATGGACTGATGAAAGCCGAAGAAGTCTTGCGGAGAGAAAAGCCGAGATGGATGTGGGTCAGCTTTCCCTGCGGACCCACCAGCAGTGTCCAAGCCCTCAACGAGAGGACCGAAGAGATGAAGGTGAAGAGCATGATGCGGAAGAAGAAGTCTCGCCGGCTGGTGAGACGCTCTATGAAGCTGCTCTACATCCATGTTTTTGAACCAGCAGTGGAGAACCACTACGAGCTCTACAGAACGATTCTTCATGGTTGTCGAGTCGGAGTTCGGGTTAACGACGGAGGACTGATGAAGAAACCCTGGAAGATATTCACCACCAGCCAGGAGATGGCAAGTGCGCTGGATCTGCAGTGCACCAAAGATCACAAGCATTCTCCGTGCTTGGGATCGGACAATACCAAGCGGCCTGCCTTCTACACAGAGAAAATGGCGAAGATCATCTCTGGGGTGATCCTCAAAGACCATGGAAGACAAGCCCCTGGAATACGTCTGAAGAACATGGACGGCCAAGACAACAACGTGGCGAACCTCGTCGACATCCTGGAGGACGGCGAGGAGGAGTTCATTGGTGCGGTGGACGATCAGTCCATCCCGAAGGAAGAAAAGTCAGAGATTCCGGAAGGACTCTCGGAACAACAATGGGCCAAAGTGCGAGAAGTGGTGAGAAAGCTGCATGTGCGGGCCGGACATCCCTCCAACATCGCTTTGGTGAATTCTCTGAAGGCGAGAGGAGGAAGCGCTGCGCTGATTGAGGCTGCTCGTACTCTGCAGTGTGACGATTGCCTGGAAGCCCGGAGATCACATGCGGTGTCCAAGGCATCTTTCAGTCGTGCCAACACTCTGTGGCACACCTTGCAGATGGACATCGGGCAGTTAAAGTATAAGAAGAAGTTCCTGCATGTCTTGTTCCTGGTGGACAAGGCTTCGACGTTTGTGGTTCCTCACCTCATCGGCGAGCTCGACGAGGATAAGTCCATGAATGCTTCGGCCGAGCAGGTGGTGGAGGCACTGCAGACATCATGGGTGCGATTCTTTGGACATCCTAGCCTTCTAAGATGCGATCCTGAAGGAAGCCTGCGATCAAGGCTCTTGGAAGATTGGTGTGCGAGAAGGGATGTGGAGCTACAACCATGTGCTGCGGAGGCGCATCATCAGATAGGCGTGGTTGAGCGCATGATCGGTACCATTCGGAAGAGTGTTGACCGTTTCCTACGTTCGGAGGAGGCGACGGCCTGGGAGGCGGTGCTGGCCATGTGCGCAGCTCACAACGAGCTTGCGAACGTCGGTGGCTTCAGCCCTAACCAATGGGCCCTTGGACGTGATCCTGGACTGGATTTGAAGATGCATGAGAGCGGACGAGATGGAGCTCCCATACACGTCGGACAGCGCGACCCCAAGGAAGCGGTGTCCAAAGCAATGGCGGTGCGAACTCGAGCTGAGGAAGCGTATCGCCGGATGGTGGTGCAGGAGGCGATCAATCGCGCTTGGAACTCGAGCCCCAAGAAAGGTGATATCTACATGCCGGGTGATTTGGTGTATTGTAAGAGGTTTCAGGCTCCTGGACAAGCAGTTGCCCATGCGGATGTCTATGTCACGCGAAGGCGGATGGCAAGATGGTTCGGTCCGGCAAGGGTCCTAGCGACGGAGACTCTGTCGCCCTCGGGGAACGCTGAAGATTCTGTGCCGGGCAAGATCATTTGGATCGTGGCAGCTGGCAGGCTCAAACGTGTCAGCCCGGAGCAACTTCGTTTGGCTTCGCCCAGAGAGCGTTTGATTGAGGAGGGCACCAACCCAGCAGATTTTCCGTGGACTATCCATATGGGATGCTCAACAAAGTAGAGAAGGGCGAGTTCGACAACTACGAAGACCTCTACGCAGATGGCGGCCGACTTCCTCTGATGTCTAGCAGAAAGCGAGGCAGAGCTCAGAGCGAGCCGCGACCAAAGGCTGCTGCCAAATCTAGTGCAAGGGTAGAGGGAGGTGATAAGAGTGAATCAAGACCCATAAGAGGCCAAAAGACTCCAACAAGAAAGGGTGGCAAAGAAGGCCCATCAAGAGCGCAAGTAGGGACGGAAGGAGCACCGTCTGCGCCAAGAGAAGCGAGGGCACGCTCAAGGTCCCCTGTAGGAGTCACATCTAGCCCATCGGGCTTAGGAGCCCCTGGTAGTGTAGTTGATCAGTCGCTGCACGAACTGCTCAATAATCGGCAGTTTGCTGCCGCTAGGCAACGCCATGGTGGCACCGCGGAAAGGTGCCGGTCATCGGCAAAAGTAGTGATGGATGAGTCCCTCGGTGAGGCGGTAGCTCTTCTCATGGACTCCGAGAAGGGCAAGAGCAACCTCATGCGGGACCCTGTCAACAGCCACCTGATTGACGAGCTCGGCATTGGTGACAATGAGGTGATGGCGTGCTTCAGTGTTGACGTGCCCGAGGATGGCAAGGAGTTCCGGCAATTTCAACGAGATCCGGAAGAGTGGCTGGTGAAGAAGATTAAGAAATCCCCGGAGGTCAGTCTGTCGAAGATGGCTCCTGAAAGGATTGAAGATTTCCGCAAAGCCAAAGAAGCGGAGGTCACTCAGTGGGTTCGTTCGGCAGCGTGCCGGGCGGTGGAAGGCGGCAGGCTCATTCCGAAGGACAGGGTGATGAAGATGCGGTGGGTCCTCACCGTGAAGGGCAGCGGCGCTGCAAAAGCTCGGATCGTGATCGTGGGCTTCACTGACCCTGATCTTGCTTGCTTGCCTAAGGCTAGCCCAACCATGAGCCGGAGATCCAGACAGTTGATGGCTACCATGGCGGCGACGGCAGGGTGGTCTCAGCTGAAGTGTGATGCGAAGAGCGCTTTCCTTCAATGCAGTCGGAGCACGGAGGAATCGCGAAGCATTTTTGCGGTACCCCCGGATGAGTTGGCGGATGCCATGAAAGCACCTCGTGGCAGAGCAGTGCAGATTTTGAAAGCTTGCTACGGGCTGGTCAATGCCCCGTACCAATGGTTCTGCGAAGTGCGAGATCGCATTCTTCTCATTGGAGGCGAAGCTATCCACACCGAGCCTTGCATGTGGATTGTTCGCGGTCCCGACAGCAGTGTTTGTGGAATCATTGCCTCGCATGTGGATGACTTTTACATGGTAGGTGATGAACAGGACCCCACTTGGAACGCATTCTTGGTGAACTTCAAGCAGTCATACATGTGGAGCATTGTGGAGCCCTTGGGAAGCAGATGTGTTTGAGCATTGTGGCATCATCATGCAGCAGCTTAGCACTGGTGAGATTCAGTTGGATCACAGCAAATATTGCACTGGCATGAAGCAGATCGATCTGAAGGATCGAGATGATCACGCTCCCGCCAGTCCCACAGAAACAGAGCAGATGCGCGCCATCTTAGGTGCGGTTCAGTGGCGTGTGCAGCAGAGTGGACCTCAACATGCGGCAAACTTGGGACAGCTCTTGACTATGGTTAAGTCCCCGACTGTCGCTATTTTGCGTGAGGTGAACAAGTTAGTTCGCGAGGTCTATGCGGAGAGACACTCGTCTCCCCGGTTGCAACCGCTGAAATGTGAGCTCGAGAAAGTGGTGATGGTTTGCTGGACCGACGCGGCATTAGCAAATCGTGGTGACGGAGGCTCGACAGGCGGATACATAGTGGCGGCGGCCCCCCCGGCTTTGCTTGAAGGTCGTAGGTCACCTGTGTGCATGTTGAGCTGGAGATCAACGAAACTGCGGCGCGTGGCTCGCAGTTCGCTAGCTGCAGAAGCTCAAGCATTCTCTGGAGTTGATGTGGTGTCGTTTGCAGTGGCGTGAGATGCTCGGTGAACGCATCGACTTGCAGAGCCCGGGGAACAGTTTGCAGAAAACCCCTGGAGTGATGGTGACAGATGCCAAATCTCTTTACGACGCTGTGAGCCGTGGGGATGCAGCAACGAGCGGTTTGGGTTTGTCACACAAGAGTACTCAGCTCTGGAAGTGCTGTCGGTGATGGAGAGACTAGCAGAAGCAAAGACATCAGTTCGGTGGGTGCACAGTGGTGCGCAGCTGGCAGATGGGTTGACAAAACATCAGCCATCATCGTGCCTGAAGAAGGCCATGACGGATGGCGCCTGGACGCTTGTGGCAGATGAGAACTTTCTGTCGCAGAAGAAGCGCAAGAAGATCGGGTTGGCAGATAATCCGGTCAACACAGAAGTTTCTGGCAAAAGACTATGGGGCATGTGAATATCTGGCCTCTAGACTTGCCTCCATCTTCTGTGCATGACCATGTGACCCGCCGGTGCATTTCGGTTTACATAGGAATTCCTTCGGCCATATTTGTGTCTTTGACACGCACACCGTGCGTGGACGGCTACTTGCAGGTGAAAAGGTTTGCGGCAGCGCGGACCAGATCAGAGAGGTTGAATCTCTGTTGCAAGTCAAATTTGGGTGACCCCTGTTTGACGCTCGGCTGAAATTCAGCGTTGCATCGCCAGGCGGACCCGCTCCCCGGACGTGTCCCTCTCCCCGAGGGTTCCTATGAAGCGCGCCGAGGCCAAACCCTCTCGCGGGTTGGTTGTGTTATTTGTGCTGGAGTTGATCGAGCCTGTTTGTATGAAGCAGTTTTGCCACAACTGGGGATTCCGGACTAACATGACCATGACCATCCCCACACACAAAGAAGTTAGACCATATCTCATGCGCTGCATGCTTGAAACCTCCTGAAGATTTCTGAAGCCTGCTTAGGGGGCTTGAGTGGCAGCATCCCAATGATCGTGTTGCAAGTCTAGGGCCCCCCAAGCCCCCCCAAGTGGTTCATGTCTCCCCTCTAAAACCATCCCAAAAGCTTCCTAAAGCGGCCCATTGCGAGAGAAACCCAGATGAATTGAGATGGTACCAATCCGTGTATGCATGCCAACACAAAGCATCGGAACATCCCTGCAAGAGATCATACAGACTAACTACACCTAAATGCCAAGAAACTCCCTTGAGCCCTGGCAAAGATCAACCCCTGTTCCGTTTCGTTTAGCCGAAAACCGGTTGGTTCAAAATCAATGATCCTTATACCAGATGGTGGTGCTTTCCCTTTTTTCATATCCTAAGGGTTGCAGACTAGGATCAGGGATCCCCCCATTTTGACCAACCCGGTGCCGCTAAATGTCGCAGGTGCGTCCGAGAAGCCTATCTCCGGAGATGGCGAAGAGGATGCAGAAGTCGGGTAGATGAGATCCAACCCAGCACCCAGCTTGCACCGATCCGATGCACATCGCCACTTCCAAAGAAGATGTCCCTATGTGCCCCGTAGCCTGTCCAACCGCATATTCAATTGAAATCAGGGGTAGCCTAAGGAATGAGCTATAGCGGTCTTATACAACGCATCCTTCTTTCCCTTGGTCCAATGCAGCCGCATAAACATGCGGATCTTTCCGAACGGATGCGAGCTTGGGTGCGCGGAGTAGTGCTTCAAAGCCAAGCCAGTTTGAAAGGCCTCGGGGGTCTTAAGGTGCCATTGCAAAGGACTTCCCGCTTCACAGACGCAAACCAAATCCTCACGGGGCATTTCGTTTTGCGCTTCACCTGGTGGAGGCTGTCCTTAGCAACATGACGAGTTCTTTGGTGATTTTTATGTTCTCCCCGAACCACCTGACGCATGGCTGTCCGTTTTATATGTCTTGGTTTCGCGCATGTGATCAATATGGTTTGCCAAAGCAGGGAGCGCTGCCTGCCCAGCGCAATTTGATTCAATTGGCTTGCTGGTTGTCAGCAGGGAATGCAGGAACGACCTGTATGTGCCATCCCTTATGTTTTGTCGGGAGAACCTTTGGGTTATGTCCGTTTCGCCGTTTCCCTAGTTATTCGCTGAGAAGATGGATGAAGCAAGTGATTCCCTTGATATGTCCCTTCCTATGTCCTTGTCATTTCCTTGTTCTTCCATCGTTGATCCCTTGCCATGTCCTTGTTACTCCCCTTTCCCCTGAGAACCAGCAAGCTTGATGCATCTGGAACATCTCACCAGGTGCCGTTTACGGGCTCGCCACAAGCCGCGGAGAGAGCACGTGCATCGTGAAAAACCTGCAAGCCAGTGGGGAGGATCTCTGGTGTCTTTGGGGGTACCCTTAGCTTCCATTTGCTTTAGAATATGTTTTATTTTCCCCTGTTGGTTTTAAAGGGAATCTGTCACTACTGGAAATATGTGTTTTTTGGTTTTTTTTCCAGGGGGCTTAAGCAAATGGAGGGTTAGGGTTAGTTCTTAAGTGAAAGCAAAAGGAAAAAAAACATGGTTGGGGGGCTCCTCCTGTTTTGACATGCTCATGTTCAAATGCTGATTGTATACGTCCCTCTATGAACCCATTGCCATTTGAAGCCCCGTTTGGGGATGGTTTTCCAAATGAAGCCGAGAAGATGCAGGCTTCATTCACCGGTACTAGGGCTTGGAGAAATATGTGTACTCAACCCGCGCACACACACACATACACACGCACACACCGAGGCACAAAGACACGCAGAAGCACAGACATACAGACATACAGGCACGCAGACACACAGACATACAGACACGCAGACACACAGACACACAGACACCAGACGCACAGACGCACAGAAACAGACACACACACACACACACACATCTATGCGAGAAGTGGAGCAATTGAGACCGTGATATTTAGCCACGCTAGCGTTTCAGAACATATGAGGTGGAGGTTTCCTGGTTTGCTTAGGGTGTTCATCAGCTTCTTCATCTTCCATATTGTAAGAATCCCTTTCAACTCAAGCAGGAACTTTGATCGAATCCGATGTCGTGAAAGGTGGGGTTCAGAGTGACAAGTACCTTCTGGGTGCTTCAACTCTGCAGAGGGTGCTCACTTTTGGGCGGATCCTTCGTTGCTGACATCCGAGACAGTCCGAGAAAAAAGGGGTTGCTTTCTTGACTCTTGAGTTGGTCTTGGGTAAATTGTGTATGCCAGATTTGATCATGACGAGTTGCGCGCAGCCATTGTGTGGTGTTCCAGCATTCGCGGTACACCTGGAGGCACGCGAGCGAATCCAATCGCTTTTTGGCTCATGCGGACAGGAAAGCTTTTGTGGGGGGTGCTGGCTCTCTTAAAACAGAAAGCGCACAGCCGGGCGAATCGTCACGAGAATATGTGGCCTCACGCATGATGAAGGCGGTTCTTGGTGTATGCCGTTTATGCCAGGTGGATAATTCGTCATCAGTCACCCAGACCCACGACCTGCAACTTTATGGAAGCAAACAGTGATCATATTGACATGCCTTGTGGCCCTATAGACGCAGAGAGTAGAGAGAAGTTTTCAGCACGCCAAGCTCGGCTCGGCTCGAGCGGGTAACCTGCTTGATTTGCGGATAGGGCCGGGGCGGTTGGTTCAAAAGGAACCCAAACAAAACCAATCATTTTGAATCGTCCCAATGTGGCACACATTGCGAGTCTGCTCGGTTGGGTTCTCCTTTGACCTTGTAGAGGGCTCCTCCTCTAGAGGCAGTCGCTGCTTTTTCAGCGAAAAATAACTGCAGAAACCGTCCGCGCCCCGAATATTGGACCCTTTGCCCCTAAGTATCTTGCTGGTGCTCAGCAGGGAATGAGGAAATGACCATTGTAACCCGTGGTTTCCATTAAGGGGACCTCTGGGTTCATTCCTACTGAGCACCATCAAGTTATCCCGTATATAGGTTTGTTTGGCCTGGTTTTAAGGCAATGAAGGAAGGGCGTGGGAGAAGGCAGCCCTCCAAGCGCAGAAATCCCTTGGGTGTAAGCAACTAAACAACGGACTTGTTCTCCAAGCAATTTACGGAGCCATACGGAGCCCACGGAAATCCCAGAGAAACACCCTGTACGATGAGCTCTGCTTCGCCATGAAGCTGAAAAAGCGGCCGCCGAGAAGTCCGGAAGCTCCCAGTGCCACTCGCATGCAATGAGCGTGGGAGGTGTCCCCTAATTTCAAAAACGTGTCCCGAAGAATTTGGGACGTGCCGACTGCCGGGAAGTCGGGAGTCGACTCCAAGTGTGGAGGGGTTCTTTCAAATCAAATCAGATGTGGCTCCACATGGTTTGGGATTTGAAAGCTGGCGCTGAACCCCGCCCCGAGAGTGATGGCAGGCTTCTGGGAGCTCGACAGCTTTGGGCGCTCGCGTATCAACTCTCTCAACCCGAATTCCAATTCGAGGATTCGAGGGGAACCCAACTTTCAATGCCCTCTTGGGCTCAGCCCTTTTGACTGTCAAGTGGCTGTGGGTGAAAAATGGGGTAAACCCAAAATGGAAGCCTTGTAAGAGGAAACATGGACTAAAAGCTGCGGTCCAAGTCCTGGTGGTTTCATGTTGACCAGCCAAGTATCCGGAGCTGTTGAGTGCACATCCGGGAAGGTTCTGGTCTGGTAAGGCTATGGAGCTGAAGAAGGCAGAACCTCGGTGCGGCCACTTCGAATCGTACCAAGGTCTCCAAAGCGAAGCGCAAAGCCAAGAATTGGCTGCCAGGAAGGGCTGTGCACGTGACTCAAGACGATGTTTTCTTTTTGGGCATCGCTTTGTGCACTTTGGAGGGAAGCTTCACTTTGCAGAGCCCGGGAAGTTTGGTCAGGCTTGCCTGGGGCCCCAATGGCTCTCATAATGGTCCCCATTTGCCCGGCAGGTGGTCATTCCTCAGATTGCGGCTCTGAATCCAGTCGATTGCCCGGTGATATCCTTGCCACGAAAGAAGTGCTTCCACAGATTTCCAAGCAAAGGGAGCAACACATGCTTGATCTCATCAAGGCCTGATATTGGGGGGTGGTTTGAGGTTGTTTAGGCACTGTTTAGGTTTGGTTTAGGATGGGTATAGAGTTGGTTTAGGGTTGGCTTGGGGTTGGCTCAGGGTTGGTTTACAGTGGCTTTAGGGTGGCTTTAGGGTGGCTTTAGGGTGGGTTTAGGGTTGGTTTAGGGTTGGTTTAGGGTTGGTTTAGGGTTGGTTTAGAGTGAGTTCAGTTTCGGGTGGTTTAGGGTTGGCTTAGGGTTGGTTTAGGGTTGGGGTTTAGGGTTCAAGGCTTTCCATGTGTAAACGGGTACTAAACTATCCCCAAACCACTACTTTCAGGGGTTTAATCAAATATACAGACACTTTGTAGCCCCATAAGGGGTATATTATTGCTTGTCGTTGGGACACATTTTACAATTTTGCTTCTTGTGGTTTAGTGGTTGAAATCCAAATCCACTTAACTGCTAAAGTTTTCATTTTTTCCCTCCCCAAACCCAACGTCAACCATGGAGTGACTCCTATCTCTCCATGGATGGTGCAATACGCATTGCGAGGATGGGAGCGAAGTTTCGAGGCGCGGGATGGCGGGTGTTGCCGCTGGCGGTTTTCGGTTCCAGCAGCAGAGCCTCGGTCCTAGGTGTTCGAAGGGCTCGAACCCAGCTTTTCAAGGGCAAATTGGTTCATGTGGTAAGATCAATTCCCAAGGTCGAAGGGTGTGTTGTCTCTGCCGAAATCGGATCGCGCAGGAAGAGGTCTCCTTTCAAGCCCCAAGGTGTCAACGACTTTGAAGATAAGTCCTTCCTGAAGCGCTTTGCCAGATGACAGTTGTTTCCGTTGCTGCACCGGCATTTTGATCAGCCCAGACGACCATCCGTGGGTAGGGACCGATTGTTAGGCGGAGTTTCTCTGTGAAGACGTCCGTCGCCAGCAGCGGCACTACGTTTTCGCAAGCTTCACCATATTTTTCTCCTATAAGGCCTCGGTGATGTTTGTGACCTGGCACCGAAGACAAACTGAAGCCCACGTCTGTCTCCTCGGAGAATAAATTGATCACTGGCAAACCAAAGCTGTTGCACATCTGGTAGGAGACAAACCCGCATGTGACTATGCTTGTTAGAGCTGGAACTCTCTCAATGGCTGGTGGACATGATTCCCGGTGTAAGTCATGAGTCATGTTCACCAAAGGGTTCCTAAGTGAGAGAGTCGTGCCCAACTGGTTTCCTTTTTGCCATATTCCTGGAAAGATAGGAATGATGGGAATCGGGTGGTGTTTTTTATGTTGTCGCTCATCATTCAACGAAGGCAGCAGCTACAACACCGTACGTTTATATCGTCCCGGTGGCAATTTGCTTGCTTCTGGCCTATATGACGGCAAGCAAGCCGCAAGCCCTGTGGGTGGATGTTGCGTATTCAACTGCTACATTTGCTTGGCTCTACTATGCCGGTGAGATGTACAAGACACAAATTCTTCCATTGCCACCTGGTGTTCAGGAGGCTGATTTGCTGTGTCTCAGTTGCCCAAAGCCGACCTTTTGACCTTTTGGTTCCTCCTTTTTGGTCTAGTTTTAGTCATGACCCCAAAAGGTCCACCTTTTATTTCTGGGTCCTATGGGCAAGTGAGGTGTGCCTTTATGTTTACGCTGATGATGATGATCAGCATGGGACATCATCCGGCTGTTTTGCTTGGTTGGAGCTTGGCGGTGTCCACTCAGTGCTTCATGACCAACCACGCGGACCTGCAAGTCAACATCATCGCGTCTTGATTGCGCGGTGGTTTCACCTTTTAGCCTTTGCACTTTTGGGGTTTAACGTTTTTTTTGTTTTGTTTGTTTTGCTGTTTTTGCCACAAACTAGGCAAAATGGCAATGTTTGAAATTTGTGGTGGCGGCCAACCCAGGTGTTAATCTCCCTGTCAGTTGCTATGCACACCTTCTTGCAGAGCTCGCACATGAAGCTTCGAGAAATGCGCCTGGCATCAGAAGCAGAGATTTCCAGGATTCGGAATCACAAGGACCTGCCGCCAGCGGAATCGCAAGTGACGAACACGTCCGAAAAGCCCTCGTTTGCACTTGCGGTGTTCCGGCTGGTGAGAGGCAAGGTTCCAGAGCATTGGCCATACTCCCGAGGTGAGATCGTGAAAGGTAGGGCCTTGATTTGAATCCTGGACTCATGTGCCGCATGTGACGGGGGTAGTGCCGTTAGACAGCCCTTCTCATGCAAAAACTGCGCGAATGGAATCAGCCGAGCCTGATGCAGCATGGTGTTGTCCTGCAACGTTCAGGAGGCAAAGTTTCATGATTCCAGTTTGGACATAGCTGTTTGACAGTGTCTGGCGTATCTTGTTTCACTTGCAGACGCCAATGTTCAGAAAGTGAGAAGCTGGAAGCGACAAAAGTTGTCATAGGGATCTGCCTTCGGAATCAGCGACTTTCGTAGCACAGATTTTGTGTTCTTTCCCACAAGCATGTCTGTGAATATAATGAAGTCGCAAGTTGCTTGCCCTTGCAGTATGATTGTTTTGCCCGTCATATCACCGATTGGGCTACGTTGGGCTGAGGTCGTCACCGTTTAAGCCCGCAGAATTGACCCGGGGGTGTCCCCCGCCTCTCTCAGGGGCTTTTGACCGCCTTTCTCGGAATTGATTTGAGCACGTGTCGAAATAGGTGCTTCCAAGGCAGTCTGGGTTTTCCTGTGGTTTTTTGCTGAGACCTGCCTGAAAAGGGTACTGTACCAACTCAGGGCCACATAGACTGAGGGAACTGCACCCGTTGCCCAAGAGGCAAGGACCTGTCGGATTGTCCCCGAGGGCATCCGCAAACACCAAGGCCACTTTGTCTTCCGGTGGCAGAACCCGCACTTTTGAGGGGGGGGGGCGGTGCTCATATGATGTCGCATAAAAGCAAGCCCACAAAAGGTACGCCTCAACAAAAGACACGCCTTTGATTCAAAGCCTTTGTGTTCGGCAGGAGCGGCAGCAGCAGGAGAGGTTACAAGCTGTCCGGCGCAGTGAACAGATGCAGCGGGTTCTGACACTGGTATTCCACCAAGTCAAGGTCAAAACCTCAGTTGCCCAGGGGCGTCTACCAAACCAGGGTTGGTAGATGCAAGAGGCAGTTTCTTTGTGCTCACGCACTCCCGAAAATATGTGAGCGGCGATACTTGGATGCCCTGGGCCGTTCGTCGGCAACATAAATGAACGAATTGATGAGAATGACTAGGAGTGGGTTTACGCGTGCACCAAATCAGATC